AGCGACTTTGACACCACCGCGTGCGGATAGGAGGCAGTCGCCGACGCCGAGTTCACGCAGAGACGGCCACCCAGCCACAACACCGGCGAGAGCAGTAGATCCCATGATGGTGAACGTGTTATCCTGCAAGTCCAAAACCTCCAGGGCGCTCGCGTGACGAAGACCCTCCTTCAAGAGCAGCGAGATACCCTCCTGGCGAATACCATTCTGCGTCATCTTGACGGAGCGGATGCCTGCAGCGTGTACCTTGTAGGCACGTGCCCACGCTTCCATACTGCCATTCTCCAGTCGGTTCCGTCCGCAAACAATGCTTTCCAGAAGAGGAATCTCCTCGCCGGCCTTGCGGGCCTCCTCCTTGCGCTCCGCAAGCTTTGTGAGTGCATCGGCAATAAGCGTACCGGCAGCGGGACCCAAGCCGTTGTTATTCAGGATCAGGTGGCGGAGGGGCACGTGGCGGGAGAGGAAGTCGACGAGGGGGGCCTGGGTGTTCAGGCCGAACGCGTTGTCGGAAAGGTTGACGGTGTGGAGAGTTTTGATCTCAAGCAGCGCATTGAGAAGGGCAGTCAGAGCCTGAGGGATCTCGGAAAGCAGGCGGGAGGTGAAGATATCAGCGAGGTCGGCGACTTCGAGGCTCTTCTGCGAAGCAAGTACGGGGGCCAGGCGTTCCGAGGCTGGTACACCGAGGGTGTTACCACCCAGACGAATCTCGGTGAAATCAGTGCTTTCAATCAGCGGCTTGATATGGGCCTCAATATCTTCAGCAGTGTCCAATTTGAGGCCTTTGCCCTCAAGTGAAAAGACCTTTGGAGGGGCCATGGTGGGGTAGTTTCAGGGGCAAACAAAAAACTGAAGAATTAACCAACAATCCAAAGAAATATGAGAACTGTGTGAGAGTTAGTCTGAAAGCACCGCTGATCAGACAGAATAATCTAATAATAGCCAGAGAGACTGCAGGAGGTGATAGTATTCACAGTTCAAATGTGGAGGGGGAAAGAGAAAATCCTCCGCTATCATTAATATTTATTATTTTGCCTCCTCAAAAAATGCAAACAAAAGGGCCCAGTACCAAAAAACTTGCCGATCGGCGGCACTCCGGCAATCCACACAGCCCAAATGCGCCGTTTCCGCTCCATCGAAGTCAATTAATCAGCACTCCAACTCCATCGACTGTCATCATCTGCTGCTTCATATCCGTACATAGATCCTCAATCGCTGCCGCACATTCTTCTGCTTCAATCTTTCATATATTTCCACTCAGAAATCAGAAACCCGACATGTCGTGGCTCTTCGGCTCATCCAAAGGTATGCACTCCAAATTCTTCTCCGCAGCTCTCCGGCAGAACTATACCCACGACCACCTATTTCCAATTCCACTCCCCATTCCCCTCGAAGTTCAACTAGAATACTAATATTATTTACGCAGGTGCTGCTGAACAGGCTCCCACTCCTGCAGCTGCTCAGTCAACACCCACCGAGAAACCCAAGGTATGTGGTTGAACGCATTGCGCCGGGCCCCGAAAGAGCCGATCTGACCATACCATCTCCAGCCCTGCTGCGTCTGCAAGACCGAAAAGTCCGCCCGGGATGACTGCATGTTGTTCTCGAAAACCGATGACCCGGCTCAAGAGTGCAAGCCCCTGATCGAGCAGTACAAGGCCTGCATGGCTGGATACGGGTTCAAGGTTTAAGCTGGTGGTGTCGACTGAACGTGTTGTCCATTGATCTTGCTGGGCAATATACGATGTGCGTCGACTACGCTGGGTTAGGCATGACGTGAACATTTTCTCGGTGTTGATCTAACACTGAGCAACGGATTGGGAACAATGCGGCTATACTATGGGCCAGGTGTTGGGTTATGGGCCAGGTGTTGGGTTATGGGCTACGGTTTGATTTTAGATTGTATATTAGCATTGTTGTACGGAGTTTTTGTTGATGTATACTTATGTACACTAAAGGTATATAGTTGTCTGGCAAGCCGTCTGTCAGACAAGGGAATAGAACATCTCTCCTTGACTCGGGACGTACAAGGTAGAAAGGAATGACAATCGGATCTTCACCCGTCTCAGGGTTATAAAATACATTCGAAAGTATGAAAGTATAATGGGTATCATTTGAGAAAATTTAAAGGACTGGGACCGCTGATCCTCCCCGGCTATCATTGCTTCTTTTTCCGGCTCTCCTCTTCTGCCGCCTTGCGATCAATCTGCCAGCATTGCGTGATCAGTCTCCACATACACCACAGGTAAGCAATGCCAAATCCTCCCGCGCCAATCAAGACGTTGAGCACCACCCATAAATCGGGCTTGCCCTCCGGTGGAGGCACAAATGCGTCGAGGACATGCCAAACGATCATGGCAAGGTAGAAGCAGAAATGCAGAAGTTTCGTGAGTATGCGAGGCTCGGAGACAGGACTCGATTCGCCCACGGGGGGTCGGCTGCGATATGTCTCAAAGGAAGTTGGTGGAAGACCCATCAGATAGGCCCAGAGGCCAGTCATGACGAAGTACGGGACCCGGAGTTCGTCGCGCTTGAGAAGAGGATACATGGTCCAGCAGCCAAGGACATTGGCCCATCCAATCCAGGCCCGAGTGTCTTTACTCAAGCCGCCATCATTTGCAAGAAGGAGAGTCATGGGAAGCAAGGGCAACAGCACACTCTTTTCATGAACCTGGAAGGAGAAAAGGAAGAAACCCCAAGCTACGCTGGCCAAAGCAGGGAGCAGTAGCGATGCTCGCGGGTGACGGAAAATGATCCCGCAAGGAACAATAATGGATGCTAGTGTGGCGCCAAGTGAGACGCGCTGGAGAAGGCTCGCTTCGAACCGATGAAGCTTGTAGAACGTGTGGATGGCGCACCAGGCGTTGGCGACCTTGTCTTCAAACAAACCACGGGCGAATGGGAACACACGGTGGATGATTTGCATCAGCTGAAAGACGGTTGCGTACAGAAACGAGTCCTTTGACAGCTTGATGGGTAGAGCCTGGAGCAGAGGAGGCTCCAGAGAAGCACTCAGATAGCCCCGAGCTTCGGCATTGGTTGCGGCGACAAGCAGCGGGGCAAACAATAGCGCGAATGCGAGGACGGTGATGATGGCAATGTTCAGAAGACGAAGAATGCGTATCCTGGGGAAGATGCAAACGCCTAGAAGAAAGGCGAACATGACCGGGGCGTAATAGAGGGCCATCTGCTTGAAGCCCAAGGCGCCCACAAAGAAGAGACAAGCCCACAGCATCCGTCCGGCCAATATAGCATCCAAACTTGCGACAACAAGCCCCAGCATCACGGTATTATATTGAAAATGGCCATGATCGATGAGAATGGTTGCGGGTTGCAGTAGAATCGCGACGAGGGCAATTGAGGTGGACCAGGCTGGAACACCTTGCATCCGAGTATAACGACGAAGGAAGTTAACGACGGCCGGGATGTAGACAAGATACTCGGAAACGATCACGGTTCCGCGCATGAAGACCTTCAATCTTGGATCCTCAAAGCCGCGCGAATCATCCAGGGCAAACCAGGAGGGGTCAAGAGCGCTTCCACTACTGATTGTCAGCAACGAACGCCTTCCTCATAACATGTCCCAGGAACCCACGTACATCTTCCCCAGCAGCCAGCTATGGTATGCCGTCAGAGGTGGGTAATCAAGTCCCCAGTATTGCAAGTCGTAGAGATACCATTTCGACATGGGCAGGTGAATGGTGAGCTCCATCCAGTGTCTTTGCGCTTCGAAATCACCATGCATCGGAGGCACCTGGAAACCTGCATCTATACGTCAGCCGCACGTACTTGGACGCATATTCCCAACACCCAGGCATTGCACAAACCAGAGTAGCCCCATAGACTGACAGCCCAACGGAAGAGGCCTACCACCATAAGGATCAGAGGTAGCACCAGCCATTGGGATACACCAGCTCGGGCAGCCCACAGAAACGAGACGAGAGGGAACGCAGGGGATGATTTTCCACCCTCAGCTTCAAGAATGAGGGAGTTATTCGAGCCAGTGGGATACTTTCTCCTCTTCCGTGGCCGATGAGATGAAGGGGTCGGAGGAGCCATGGTGGTAAGACAGCAGCAGTATCACCTGTCTCCCATTGGCTCACTATATGCCGTCTCCGAAGAAGAGAGATCCGATAGTAGGAGCGTGAGGAATGCCCCGTAGTAGTCGAACAAACAGTTTGGGGTAGAGAAGCGGTGGTCTTCTGCGGAGGTGGAACTTGAAGCTAGTACCAGCAAGTGACACTCTGGTTCCCGCGACGGCCGCGTGCTCACCGAGTACCTGCCAGGTACCCACTTTTTCTTAAGCTACTGTGGCATAGTGCCTGAGCTAGCTCCTACAAAGTAGGCGGTGTGCGAAAATCTCTGCCAGCCTCTCAGAAATTTTTTTTCTATATCCTTATCAGAGCTCTCGAGGATCTCTCTCTCTTTTTTTTTTTTTTCTTCTTCTCTTCATCCTCATACTTTCCCCTTTATCAACCCACCTTTCTTACATCTTTCTCACCTGAATCATTTTCGATTCGGTGAAACTCTTCAGTCTCCTTCTTAGAAGCCATATTGTTAACTGACGCAGCAGCGTGGGCCGTACTTTGCAAAGTACACTTCAACAGACATCTTGTGGGCTTAATACACTGAGGGCTGTGGGCTGTGGCATATTGCAATCTATTCTGTGGGATCTGTGGGATACTCTCCGTGGGTTTCATATTATAGACGAGTGCATATTTCCTCTCCGTCTCTGTGGGTTTGAACACTGTCGTTGTGGGTTACTTGTGGGTATTTGTGCTAAATCTCTTCCATTTGTGTTGAGATTTACGTCCAGCTGTGATAAGGTCATCACTCCTGGATTTTCCATCAGGGGGCTTTAACTCAAATCGGGTGATTGAGGGATTGTAGGCTTTGCCGCACAATTACAATTTTTCACTTTTGAAGGAACTTCGTTGATGTATATACTACTCTCTGACCTCCCTGCTGATGCTCAAGCTAACCGTTGTCTTTCATAGTACAAAATGTCTAAGACCAAGTCCGTTACCAAGAAGGGTGCCGAGAAGCCTGTCGACAAGGCCTTGAGCAAGGTCAAGGACGCTGGCGTCACCAAGGCTTCCCAGTCTCCCAAGGCTAAGAGCAAGCAGCTCGCTCGCGAGCTCGCTTCCAAGGAGAAGTCCAAGCGCAAGAAGAAGGAGCCTACTCCTAGCAGCAGCTCCGAGTCTGACAGCGATGAGGAGATGGAATCTACCAGCTCCAGCAGTGAGAGCGAAAGCGAGGAGGAGAAGCCTGCCAAGAAGGAGGTGAAGAAGGTGTCCAAGAAGGCCGAATCCTCTGAGTCCGAGTCGGAGTCCGACAGCGACGAGGAGATGGACGACGCTTCTAGCAGTGAGAGTGAGAGCGAGGATGAGAAGCCCGCCAAGAAGGACGCCAAGAAGGAGTCCAAGAAGGCCGAGTCCTCTGATTCTGAGTCCGAGTCGGAGTCGGAGTCTGAAGATGAGAAGGTCGTCAAGAAGGAGGTGAAGGCCAAGGCTGACACTTCCGAGTCCTCTGAGTCCGACTCCGACTCTGATGAAGAGGAGGAGGCTCCTAAGAAGGCCGCCAAGAAGGATTCCAGCGACAGCGAGGACTCCGAATCCGAGTCTGAGAGCGAGGACGAGGCTCCTGCTAAGGCTAAGAAGGCTGAGAAGGTACGTACCTGTGGCTCGCACTGCGTATAATTTTTTCTGACCGTCTCAGGAATCTTCCGAGGAATCTGAGGATTCTGATGAGTCTGAAGACTCCGAGGGCTCTGACTCCGACTCTTCCGAGTCCGAGTCTGAGAAGCCCTCCAAGAAGCGCAAGGCTGAAGAGGAGCCTGTTGCCGCCCCCAAGAAGTCGAAGAAGACTGATGAGGAGGCTTCGGGCGCTTCTGCCAACCTCTTCGTTGGTAACCTGTCCTGGAACGTCGACGAGGAGTGGCTCCGCCAGGAGTTCGAGACCTTCGGTGAGCTTTCTGGTGTTCGCATTGTCACCGACCGCGACTCTGGTCGCTCCCGCGGGTAAGTTTAGCTTTACTAGTCATGTTTTATTCACCTTGCTAAACTGCATCCAGTTTCGGTTATGTCGAGTACGTCAGCGCTGCCGACGCTGCCAAGGCTTACAACGCCAAGAAGGATACCGAGATTGATGGTCGCAAGATCAACCTCGACTACGCCACTGGCCGCCCTGCCAACAACAACAACAACAACAACAACAACCAGGACCGCGCTCAGGCTCGCGCTCGTAACTTCGGTGACCAAGCCAGCCCTGAGAGCGACACCCTGTTTGTCGGCAACATCCCCTTCAGTGCCAACGAGGACTCCGTCTCCGAGCTCTTCGGTCAGTCGGGTACCATTGTTGGAATCCGTCTGCCCACCGACCCCGAGTCGGGGCGCCCCAAGGGCTTCGGTTACGTGCAGTTCTCCTCTGTTGATGAGGCTCGCCAGGCCTTCAACGACCTCAACGGCGCCGAGCTGAACGGCCGTGCCGTCCGTCTCGACTTCAGCACTCCCCGTCCCAGCAACGGTGATGCTCCTCGTGGCGGCCGTGGCGGCTTCGGCGGTCGCGGTGGCCGTGGTGGTCCTCGCGGAGGTGGCCGTGGTGGTCGTGGAGGCTTCGGCGGTCGCGGAGGCTTCGGCGATCGTGGCGGTGGTGCCCCCAACAAGGCTCGTGGTGGTATCCCCGAGTACAAGGGCACCAAGGTCACCTTCTAAATAAGTAGCAACATGGTGTCTTGATTCAGGCGTTTCTTCTCTACGGCTTACAAAAGATCTGGGTTTATGTCTAGGTTGCATGGGTTCCAAAAAGTTGGTCATTTAACTTCTGATGGGAATTTGTCTGTACTACTACATAGGTCGACTACTTAGGGTAATATGAATGGTCAGTGACATTCTCAAATTATTGTTTGGTTGTTCAGTAGTTGTCCAATGTGAGAGCGTGCTGTGGTGATAGCAAGAGTTGCTGATCGACAGCAAGAGCGCTGCCTGGGATGTGGTTGGTGCCCCGCTTTTGTGGCTTCAATCTTGGCGCTGTTTTCTTTGATCAGCAGTCGTCCACGTCTCTGACTGTCTGTTTTTCATGCTTATCATCCTGCATCGTCTTTGATCTCCTCTCAAAGACTCTTCCTTCTCTTCTCTTCTTTTTCTTTAGATGGGGTTCGTTGTTGTGTAACTTGTGTTTCTTTCTGATCTTCAGAGGTCTATATTTACTGGGTCGTGTGCGTGATTCTCTCCTCTGCGCGCCCAAGTCACCTGCCCACAGTCTGGTGATCCTCTGACGTCCACTCATTGCGTCGACCATCCAAGACAACCCTCCCTACCTTTCTTACTTGGCCTTTTCAATTTCCCTCTCGATCTGAGTCATCTGGTTTTACTTATCGTCATCGATCACAAACCTGGTTGATGATCTTCTGTCAAAGATTTGCCGGGACTCCACCTTGATAAGATAATACTGCTGCTTGGTCGATGATCCGGTGGTACTCTTCCCCACGCAACCCCACCGGCTTCCTATCAGCTTCCTACTCGGTTGTCTGCCTTGACTCCTTGACCGCTCTCTTCCTGCGTGGTCTGACTTAACACCCCTCTTTCCCTAGTCGAACCAGATGGTTCAGACTTCTTTCTGTCAACTATCCTAGATAGGTCTTTCAGATCGAAAGTCGCACGTCGAGTTGTAGATACAGACAATGCAGCCAAATCACTATGACCTGCTGGGTCAGGCGCAACAGGATGAGTGCCGACCTGCCCTCCGAATGACAAGAGAGGCTCATCAGCCGCTTCGGGAGAACATACATCAGTCACGGTCTCCATCGGGTGCTGCGTTCACGAGATCTGAAGGTCAGTTAGTTGATATACTTGTTACCTCGCTGCGGTGATGTTCCTTCAACCGCACATTTGATCAACATGTATAATCGATATCAACAATCGTGGCATAATGTACTCACTTCGATATTATATAGATTCGTGGATCGAAGTAGCGTCCCAACCGTCCTCTTCCTCCCTTTCATCCGCCGCAACCAATGATGATATTATTACTACGGGCCTGCGTGTCGAGCGGACGGAGTCCAGGGCCTATCACCACCATAGCCGGCGCCGTCGTTTGCAACAACTGGCCGCCGTGGCCACAGCGCACGTCGAATATCCGTTGCGGGAGACCAGCAGTAGCCAGGATGAATATGACGAAAGTGAGAGTGAATCAGATCATGTGCTTAGCAGTTCCAATGAAGACATGACCCGCGCACCCGTCGAGATGCCTCTCCTTTCGCAGACCGGCCCTGCCTTGCCTGAGCTAGATGCGACCACGGCGAGCGATGAAGACGATGCATCAACGGCACTGGGGATGCGGATCAGCTCATCGCCCTTTGTCCCGCAGCCCAACGTGTTTTCTCATCCACCCGAGAACCCGTCTTGGACGAGAGCAACGGGTCCTCATCAATCTCAGCCCAGTACTGTCTCCAACTCGAGTCGTCAAACCGCGATTCGAAGGAATTCGCAGGCCAGTGTACGGTCGAACAGAAGGCCTCAGCACAGCCCGTACAACATGATCTCACCATCGTATCATGCAGACCACGATGCTGCTCTTCGGGCTAGTCTGTCCACGCTTCTCTCGTGTGCTGCTGCCGCAAGGGGATTGCCCAAGTCCGATCCTCAGCCTTCGCCGGCTGAGCCTTCGAGAGGGGCACCTTCATCATTCCGCCTGGTGCCCGAACCAGTAGCGATGGGAGAAGTGGAGGTGAGCGAGAAAGAAGGACAGTCTGCCACTGAGACCACCTCGACCAGGTCTCATCGTCCCAGCCAAAGAGACGCAGATCCTACGCCTTGCACCCACAGGACCAAGCGTCGATCCAGCTCGTCCAAGGAGCGAAACACCGGACATCCCTCTGCGGCAAAGAAGAGCCGTCGAGCGGGAATGGCCGAGTCCATGTCGACAGGCAGCCCAACCATTATGACGTGGGTGATCAGCGCCGGTGTCGTGGTACTGTTTTCGGCCATCAGTTTCTCAGCGGGCTATGTACTTGGACGCGAAGTTGGCCGGCTAGAGTCGAGCACTGGCGTGGGGTCGGTCATGGGAGACGGGGGGACGGGGCCCCTGGGAGGCAGGGTGTCGGCAAGCTGCGGCCAAGAAGCCGTTCGCGGCGGGTTGAAGCGGTTACGCTGGGGGACGGGGTCAGGTGCATCCGGCATCATTGCATAAACTATTGATTCTCGACTGATGATCATGACCGAGATGATGGAGATGGCTGGCGTTCAGGGTTGGTTGTTCGCTCGTTAACCTGCACGACGCGGAGTATTTGTTTTCTTTGTGAAGGCTCATTCTGGATATCCAGGAGGAAAATTTCTTGTTTTTCATTTACTTGCTATGGAGTTGGTGTTTTGATTCTGTCGTTGATGATATGTTTGACTTGCATCTATACCCACTTGCCGTATAAGGATATGGACGGGGAGATTGACTTGCAAGAACAATGAACACTGAGCAATGAAACAATGAATGGACAATATACAATATCTAGCTCTACCCCTGACGCTACGGCCCGTTCCCGTCTCACAATGTAGATATGATACAGAGCACACGATATGATTGAGGCATTCCCCTGCGAGACCTCATGACCATGACCACGACCAGGCACGGACATGGGCACGGACACGGACATGGTAATTTGAAATGATATGCAGATTGCGGGGTGCAGACGGACAGACGCAGGCGCACAGTCTCAACTCTCACAGCGCCTGAAGCGCGAAAAAGCCGTTGAACATGCCCTGAACCTCGACTCGGTCATATGCACCTCACCTTTCTCACCTGTGATATATCATGTATCATCTGGATGTACAGTAGTAAGGTAATGATAACATAGCATCGCTGTAGCGGGAGGGTACACCGTGCAGGCTACAGCAGGTACAGCAGGTACAGTAGCATCCATCAGCATCACTAACCCCTTACCCCTAGCTTCGCAAAAGAAAAGAAACAGAAAAGATAGGAAACTGCAAAGCATGAAAGAAGCGGTCAGTGGCAGTCGCAGCTAAGAACAGGTATGTTTCGTTCCCGGTTTGGGTCTGTGTCACAGGTTACAAATATTCATACAGCATACAGGTTTTGAATGATGATCATGTTGTGATGGTGATGGTTTACTCTCAGCATATTCCTTGATTGACGAACGAATGATTCGAAGGATGGGATGCCATTAGTGATGCTGACCGCGTGCCTATCTTCCCTCTTGGAGAGTCGACTTCCATTCCTACTCGGCTACCTTATATTCCCGTAAGTGTACTCACTCCGTCTGGTAGATCTCGGCGATTATCTATTGTCCGTGGGGACCGTCTAAGATAGAACCATAGAACTAGACGCATTGCGTTCAGAGTTTCGTTTTCGTGTCAGCATGCATGCTGTTACTGCGGTATACTCGGGTATAGTTTCTTACTCGGGTTGTATCAGAGAAAGAAAGTTAACACACCGACTCAGCTCGTGTTTTCTATTCAATTGGAGTCCATCTGACACTGATACATTCCAATGCAAAAGCAATTACTCGCTTGAAGCGAACATCTAGACATCAATCTTATTGGTCGACTAACCCTGCAGCTGCATGCACGCTAGCCAGAGGACCTTGTAAGTCTATGTGATCTGGAAGAACGGCATGTGAGGCATCTAAACTAAACTAGAACGATCTTTGCATGGATTGTGGAAGGGTGTTCGTACACATTTTGATTGGGTTACAATTTGATAAGATTTTGATCCCAATTGACAATTGACAATTGGCTTTGTATCGTGTTGTTCTCAGACAAGACATTAACTAATATGCTCGTGACGATGCTATTGCCCTCCTTGCTTGAGCACCCTGAACTCCTCGCTAATTTGAACCTGATGAAACAAAACAAAACAAACCCGAGACCGAGACCGAGACTGAAACTGGCACAATGAAGGGTTGATGCAGAACAAAGGAAATAAAATTTCGAGACAAGACACTCTGAAACTTTGATGTAAGAGACCGGTCCTGCAGGTCTCACTCAAAGAAACAAACTTAAGGTCGGAAAGTAAAAAAAAGAAAGAAAAGACGGTGAAGAAGAAGCGAAGGAGACTATGCAGCTCGCTGGCGTCGCCTCATCTCATCTCGGGTGAGAAATCGGCGAATTCGCGAGACGAAGCGGTAGGCTGTGGAGTCTTGAGTCATGTTAGCCTTAGCCTTAGTCTTCCGCAACGATAGATCAAATGTGACAGATAGACTCACCACTGTTTCTGCGCGCCGAGGGTTTGGAATAATCCTCTGCGGAGTATATGTCTATCCAGGAATTGGGGTCTTGATAGCCAGGGGAGTTTTTGGCGCGGATCCATGGCGTGTCCTCGGATTGGAGTTGAAGGGCGACGACATGAGGATAGAGCGAACCCAATGGGTTGAGGAGTTCTTCTGAGGAGAGGTCTTCTGCCCGTTTGATGTCAAGGCTTTGACTGGTCTGGTGTTGTTAGTACGGTGGTGTTTTTTAAAGGTACAGAAGGAAGACATACATAAGGCTCATAGTTGGATTTGTAGCACATGATGACCAACGTGGAGTAGGAAAATTGATAAGATGGGTTGATTTTGATTTTGACTTTGATCTCGAGGTTGAAACTTCCATGACTCTGGAAAGGATTGAAGGCTATATATCTTCATCTTGTTGTGCCCTGCATGAGGCGAGAAGGTTGGGCTAGTGGAGGTCGGTCAAGTCAGCCACTTTACAACAATCCAGGTACAACACACCTAGACTACATGATGGTGGTGGGGTAGATCAGTGCGCATGTCATGAACCCTGGATCTAACTTGGCTTTGCTTTTTTCCCCTCTCGCCCACGAGAAAATCATTGGTGCTGATTTGTATTGGACAAAGTCATGATCTCATCCATCGCCTGACTGGGAATAGTACGGTGGCACTGCCATTGGCTGGTACCTGTCTTACTCAGATCGTTTAGGCCTGTTGGACCTAGACTAGTAAGAGAATAATGTCATTGACCGGTCGATTTGTTTTCAATCAGGGAAGAGCCAAGCGAGATTAATATTGGTTAAGAGACCTTTGCTGACTGTCCAGGTCCAGCCGCAGTCCCCACCGTAATTCCCAGTTCCAACTCCAATATCCCAGTTAGTGGGTTCCCGTCGCCCTGTTTACCTAGGTCCTTACAAATATAGACATCATCATTACTCTCTATTGATAACAATTACAATTACTCTGTATATAGTACCCTCCTAGACAGATTGACGTCGACTTCCATTGCGACCTTAGAACCTGAGATCTGCACCAATGAGCTGCCCCTTGCATGGTCCGTACACCCTCATAGTATCAGAGTGGTCAGTCGTCACAGCCAGACCACGTTCGACGTTGCTGCGTTGTACAAATACAATCCTGAGACTTATGTTACATCTCCATCTTGTGTCACCCACATTCCTGGTACCCTGTATCACCTGAGCTTACTGTTGGTCCACGCTGACCACCATGTGTGCTTGAAGAATCCATGCCTGCCCAGGGCTTATTGTCCAGATGGGAGCCCGACTAGACCGATTGTACCCGATAGATTCTACAACAGATCTGTCACATTGTTTGAGGAGGGATCCCTGACTAGTTATTACTGTTAGATTAAATAATCAATGCGCTGGATAACGCCACATCTTGGTGGGTAAACGCCACACCCTGATCCTTAACTGGTGTTCATAGTCACATGATATGTAAATCAAACTCTAACATAAATCAGACTGACTATATCAATGTACACATTCCTAAATGATACAATCTCCAATCTAACAGTCTGTTAATGATTCGATAATTTGTAGCAATATGGGCGTCATCTAGATTCTAGCCTATCTAATAATGACCCTGCCAAGTCGGAAACTGCGAGGCCTCCCTCCCTTCCGTGGGCCCCTCAGTGCCTATTAGATTTGTTATCAGTCCGTCTAGCTAATAGCTATAGAACGATAGTATAGCTCTAGAACTAACCAATTGTCCGTATAAATATTCGTTGCTGTCTGTATACATGGTAGACCGCGAACCTACAGATGTAGACTACGAAGATCATGTGACAAATTGTCTGTTTACCTACAAGCCAGGGAGGTGTTGCCCAACAAAGTGTGGCGTTATCCACCGGGGTATGGATCAGACCAGGCCCTAAAATCAATAGTGATCATGATAAGCCAAGTCAGCATCCAGTAGACTTGAGGATCTACAAGGATGGAGGGTTAGTGCCAGAGTCTTCCAAATCATTTACTCTAGTGTGTGATCCCGTCCAGGTACCCGGGATCAGCAGAGAGGGATAGGCCGTCGCTCATGTCCGAACTTGCATATTTATTGGGCTGCGATATCCACCTTTGCATGACAAAGCAGAGCACAGCCACACCCCCACTCCGCTTGGGAGACATTCTGATTGGACAAGCCTCAATCTCATGGGTCCGCCCAAGCAAGGTGTGGCTCAACAATGGCTTTAATCGATGTGGCTGGTGCAGATGTGGCTTGAGCCCTTGATCGATAGACGCCTACTAGTCTCCTTGAAAAAGCATCACCTTCGTCAGATCAGTGACCTTTTACTCGACATAGTAATCTCCACTTGCCAGACCCGTGCACGAAACTATCTGCCGAAACCAAATGAAGCTTCTTTCATTTTCTTGTTCCATGCCTGGTTCGGCATGCCCGTCTCGTTTCGTATCTCGGGATGGGGCCGTAAGATCTATAAGATGCCCTCCTCGCTCGCTTTCGTCACACTTGTCTTGTTTTACTTCGAGACCAAACTACTCAATAGATGACACCAAACCTGAACTTTGGTCACTCATCATTCATGTCCCATATCAACCATGACGCTGCACGTTCAGGCTTCCGCCAGAGACTACTGGCCAAGTTCTCCCTATACGGACGAGCAAGCTCCCTCTTCTCCCGCACGTAAGTCCAAGTCCCTCCCCTCAGCCTCTGCTTGCCTTTGTCTCTGTCTCATGCATACCCCCGCACACCCCACTCTGAGACAACACCTTCTGAGATCCTCCCAGAGTCAATGGACATGGAGACTGAATGCACCCCCGGCAGCCGCGCGAACCTCTCCATCTCAGTAACCGAGTGTCCATCTCCGTCTCCATTAGCATGGGCTGCCCTCGCCCCCGGCCACGCCCCGGAGCCAGAGCCAGCGCCAGAGACTGTCACAGACACTCACCCAGACTTCTCCACCCTGGACCTGAATGACTGGTACCAGCGGTACCTGTCCTGCATGCGCTTCTTCCTAGCAGAGAGCCAGCACACGCCCACCGTGCAGGCCTTGGCATCTTTTCTAAATATCAGACTACCAGGCGAGAGCGCGGACGCCGCCTCCGTCTCTGCAAGAACGTACATCCGGCGCCTGATCGCCACGGGCCAGGATACGCCCGCGAACCTGCGCCTGTTCTTCGGAGAGGACTGGGTAGCGGGCGTGGGCGCGATCCGGCAGCAGGAGCGGCTGAATTATCTCTTTGCGGCGAAGAGCGGGGGCTGGGCGTCGACGAAGAGCGCGTATGATGTTCTGCCTGATCAGCAGGTGCCGTTTCTGCGGCCGCTGCGTGAGCCGGAGGAGGAGGAGCTAAGGGTTGCGGATGCGCGGTGGAGCGAGTGGTTGGCGATGGAGGATTGGATGGTGGGACCGAGGAGGCCTTGGTAGGCCCCAGTAGGGGTAGGGGTAGGCGCGGGGTGATGCTCATGAGTTATGATTCATGATATTTTATTTCTTTTGTCATTCGCTAGTCTACATATTTCTTTTGTTGTCGATATCCATATCCACGCCGAGCGTACGGAGTACAGCTACTGTCTATCGTCCTATACCCTCGTTCGAATTTCGTTGTAGTAGAGACAATTACAATTCAACGAAATTATCACACATCATCACTGAAGGACTTCAAAACAAACAGGGAGCATGATCGGAAAATAATCACGAATCCGCATCCCCCTTTTCCTAATCCAAGACAACATGGAAATGACATTAACAAGAACGCTAAACAGGGCACCGTGCGGACTATTGGCATTAACAGGGTACACAATTCCAGTAAGCAAGCAGGCCTCCAATAATAGACCCTGTTCAGGGTATCAGATAGTAGATACGTAGTGAAAATGTCGAAAATGGTAGTGAGGAAAAAGAATGACCTGTCAGATCTACTGCAATTGCATTGCACCGCCACAGTTGGGCATCGTGATGTGCAGCCGACATGCCTATCCTGGTAATGGGAATGACAAATACTGCCCGACTATATCTTTAGGGCGGGAGCCAAGCTTCGCGACAGCTGTTAGTCAGGGGATAGACTATTAACTAGGTTAGTTAGTGATTCATTAGTGATGACTCAATAGCGTACTCTGGACCTTGTAAGCGGTTGGATTTCAGCCTTTCAAATGCCAATGAATTCAGGAATTCCCCGCAGCATTTTCAAATCAATTGACAATGACAGTCGGCGATCAAAGGCTTTCATCGGGGTTTAATAAGATCACCATCCAGGATGATCCCCGGGCGCTACTCCCCCTGCTCAAATCCCAGCTGCCTCATTCGATTCCTCTCCTCCGGCGTCTGCAGCATAACCTGACATTCCCGTCAGCGACCGCCAGACTGCTGACGACGTTTCCAGGGGTCGAGCCGCCGTCCGGACCATGGCTGGCTGCGTATGTGGATCTTCCACGTGGGCGAGAGACGCAGATGACTCTGTACTCAAGTCTCGAGCGGGACTCTGTCGTTGACGACAAGGATCCTGCTGTCATCTCCACTCTCCACGGTCCCCCCGAAACTCTAGCGCTCGCTCGCGCACAGCTATTGGCCTTGCTCTCGTATACCAAGTCAACCTTGTTGCCGGGGTACCTGGCCTCGCTTACTGCCCCAAGTGTAGAACCTGGCCCTCCCAACGCACCGGGTCAGATGCCGCCCCCGCCACCGCAGGCCTTTCTCATTGGAAACCTGCATAGTGGCCTCATGGCCTTGCTGAAGAAGTCGGGGATTTACACAGACCCGGAGCCGGTACCAGGTATCCGGATCCACCGTTACGATAATCCCCCATATGTCAAGTACCTTTTCCACAACAGACACGCGCACTCAGAGCTAGACGCAGGACTACCAGTCGGGTATCGATTTCAGGACTGTCAAGGGCGGACGGGAGTCCTCCCACACCACTACGCGCTGGTCCGTAGCAGGACGCATCTGCCCCGTTCGGACGAGACACTGTCCAGGATCCCGGGAGTGGCTGTGTATGTTGCTCGACCTGGAGAGGGGGAGGAGACACCCATCGCGTGGGTGTTCCTCGGCCTTGACGGGAGTTTGGCGACGTTGTTTGTTGAGCCTGAGCATCGCGGCAAGGGAATCGCGGAAGCGATTTCGCGCGAGGTGATGCGGCGTGGGATGGCGGAAGGAGGGATCTGGCGGGCGGTTGGCGAAGAAGGCGAGGTGTGGGTTCATGCGAATGTGCTTGCGACGAACGGGGCCAGTCGGCGGGTGCTGGAGAAGCTGGGAGGAGAGGTTGGATGGACGAATACGTGGACGGTGGTCGAGTTGGACAGTTGATAGAATCATGCAGAAACAGATGACTTCCAGCTATACTGCCCTTCAGCCTCCAAGACAACATACTCGACGATGGCGGACAACGGGATAGTGAAGCAATCTAAATCAAATAAGCCGTTGGCTTCATAAAGCTCGTCGGCCTCACATCCTTATCAGCAGCAAGTTTAGCCCATCCATCTGCTTCGGCATTCCACTCGCGCGGGATCCGCCAGAACTCAAGCTTCGTCTTCGTCCGAGTAGTAGCCGCATCCTCACACCATCCCAACAAGCACTTCCACAGATCCTTCTTCTTGACCGGCCTCCCAGTACTAGTTCGCCACCCGTTCCGTATCCAGCCCTTAATCCACGAAGTAGCCCCCTCAACGAGATATTCCGAATCCGTCGCGATGACAACTTTCGTCCACCCCTCGCCGGCCCAAAAGCGGAACTGCAGCGCGGCAATCACAGCCCGCAACTCGGCCCGGTTGCTCGTCTGCGGACGGGGATGCCCAGCTCAAGCGGGAACGCAAAATGGCCCACTCGTCCCGACCGCTCTTCTCTGAAGACCACGCCGCAGCCTGCCCTGGGATTCGCCTCGCCGTTGCCCAGGCAGGCGCCGTCCGTATAGATGAGCATCTCATTCGGGTTCAACCGCGAGATGAACCGGCGGACGGGCGGGGAGGTATCAACTCGTCGACCCGGCGGGAAGAGGTCCTGTGGTCTGATGGAGGGATTGAGCAGAGTGAACTTTTCGGGGATGACCAATCCCGTGCCTGAGTTGTATTCGCCAGGTCGGATGGTTATGGTGCCTGGGAAGTGGTCATCATCGTCCCTGCGCCTCTCCGTTTCTTCGGACTCCGCGGCGTTGTATAGGGAGCGGTTGTTGTAGTACATGAAGTCATCATCCGAGTCAGAGTCTGGTGTAATGAATGAACCAAAGTCTCATTCGAGCAAATCACTCATGCGAATCGAAGTCCTCATCGTCGTCGTCAGCGTCCGAGAAAATAGTAGGAGGGCCAGTCAGTCAGGCTTTCGGTACGGTCTCTGTCCATATAGACCATTGAGACTGCGAGACCTGAAATATCTGTCCACAAGACATCATGTCGATGCGTATTGAACTAGGCCAAAAGGAACAGATTCCAAAAGAGCCTGCAATAGAAACAAGGCGTCAATGGGAAGATGTAATGAGGTGGAGAGATGCAGTTTGCGAGTCCCCAAGTGAACCTTAAAGCAGACCGTGATCATATACTCCGTTCAGCCTGCGCTAACCGGGTTGAATGATGTAAGGAATCATTGATCCGATTGGTCTAATCAAAATGCCCGAACTTTGACATGATGCCTTATGCTTGTCAAACAAACTACCGCCAGGGGATTGTCCGAGAAAGGCAATCATAGGACCGTCAATTGGCGGACCGTCAATGAGATGGCCAAATCCAGGACCGAACATGTCGGGAATTTGCAGCACATTTTCTTTGAATCGCTGGATCGCTGGAGCGCCATATGAGCAAACAATAGAGCAGAAGCAAAAATCCTATGATGGCGTACCATTGCCACCGTTGTCAGACAGCGCGGTAGGATGTGGACAACTTCGAGATATTGAGGTGATCACTTGTCGCAGTGTTCATGGCTTTCTGTCATCACCATCCTGCTCAAACAATTCTTGATTTCACTTCTACCAAACTTTCAGGACACCATACTTCGGTGGTGGTCTCCTATAAGGCGGCTCTGACGCAAAAAAGACACGCGCTGTTGCCTGTATAGAGGACAACGATGTAGGATCAGCTGTCGTGTCTTCACAGATGAAGCATTGACTAGTATGGAACAGTTAGCACTTTAGTCCAGTCACCAGACGCACAGATGCACATACATGGAAGAAGAAAGTCCCAGCAATACTCAGTAAGCTTGGAAGGATGCCCCTGCCGTTGTCTTTTCGTTGATTCCAAGTGAATAAATCATCGAAGCTATCTCCTCTTTCCACCCTGGGCACGGTTCCTCATGATTGTACAAGAAAAGGACACGTCCCTCGATGCAACATATCGCAAGGTCCAATATACTCAACCCACGTCTTCCCAGTTATGGGGGGAAATGCTTCTGGAATTTATGAGGAGAGAATGTTTTTCCTTTTTTCGTTTTTCAGGAGCCGGCTTGCAGGTAACTATTGCTAATCCTATTCACTTTTAGTGCCGTTCCATACGCTCGATATGCTCTTCATTATCTAGGTAAGTGACCACCACAGCGGCCGAAATTGCCTCGGGATGTGATCACTTTCAGCTTGACCAGACTGCGACGGGTGGTCATTCAACAAGGCCGGTCCTCTTTTGTCCACTTCCCGAAAAGGCGAGAGGCAGACAAGGTATCTGGATGGTCTGGTCCCAGGACTTTCATCTGGAGCGCAAGACATTGTTTTAGAAGAGCCGATGCGGCTTGAGTCTTGCCTTGGGATTTCCAGAAGGAAGCCAAGTTGGCCATGCTAAACAGAGTGTCTGGATGCTCTGGCCCCAGGACCTGTTTGCGTCTCTCCATCACCTGCATCTCTAGCACCTCTGCTTCCTTCCATCGTCCCTGCTTCCAGCATATGGATGCCAAGTTGCCCATGCTAAACAGAGTGTCTGGGTGCTCTGGCCCTAGCACTTGTTTCTGGATCCTCGTCACTTCCACGTTTAGCTCCTCTGCTTCCTTCCATCGTCTCTGACACAAATATGTCGTTGCTAGGTGGCTCATACTGTTCAGAGTTTCTGGGTGCTCTGGTCCCAGTGCCTGTTTGCGTCTCTCCACCACCTGCAGCTTTAGAACCTCTGCTTCCTTCCATCGTCCCTGGATCTGGTATGATGACGCTAAGTTGACCATGCTGGTCAGAGTGCGCGGATCCTCTAGCCCCAGTACCTGTTTGCATATCTCCATTACTTGTTCCTGCAGTTTCTCTGCATCCTTCCATCGTCCCTGATGCAAGTATGTTGCTGCTAAGTCAGACATGCTGCCCAGAGTGTCAGGATGCTCTGACCCCAGCACGCGTTCCCGGATACTTAACACTTCCACAGCTAGCTTCTCTGCTTCCGTCCATCGTCCCTGACTCAAGTATGTTGATACCATGTCAGCCATGCTAGTCAGTGTCTTAGGATGCTCTGGCCCGAGCACCTGTTTCCGGATCTTTAGTACCTGTAAAAACTGATCTTCTGCTTCCTTAGATCTTCCATCACTGTGAAGGCAATCGCCAATCTTATCAATCATATCAACATATCTCTCCTCCTCCTTTTGAAAGTCAGCTTCTTCAGTCAAGGAAAGAACATGGGGTAGGTATTCGCGCCACAGCTCCCGATTGGTATGGTAATTGTTTGGAAAGGCTTCGCTTAGTCGATCGGCTGTTTTTAGGATTTGCTGGCTGAACAGCTGGTTCTTCCTCATCCAGTTCCGGGTCGCAAGATGGACGAGTCGGTGAATATTCAGAGAACAGGCTTTGCCCTCCTCATTCACAAATGAAAAGGCCTTAAGAAGACCTATGGCATCAGTCCTTTTCTTTGACGATGTCGTCTGGGGGAGCAAAGACTGCGGAATATGGCGATGGTTGATACAGGCCATGAATAATAGATAGTCGATTGCTGTTGGATTAAGTTGCTGAATCTGTTGGAATGAAATCCACCAAGTTGTTGCAACAGGATTTTGGATATCTTTGTACCGCCCTTCGTCCCCAAAGTCTTCACTCAGCAACTCAATCACGTCCGGCTCACTCTCATGTAAGAGTGTTGTGTATGCAGAAAGCCTGATATCGTTTTCATTAATATAGGCTGCCGCCTGGGCGATTGCCAGGGGAAGGCAAGCAAGCTCTTTAAGGAGAGCAATGGCTGCCTCACGATCATTGAGCAAGTCTCTCGTAATCAGCGACCTGCGTAAGATTTCAACAGCTGTCTCTGCGTCCGGTTCAGAGATCATTATCACATGAGACGACGCCAGTCTCACGGCTACCTGCCGGGTTCGGGTGGTGAAGAGAATGTGGCCTCGCTCGCTCTCAGGCAGAAAATCTGCCATTTTCCACATCTCCATATCATCTGCGTTATCAAAAATGAGGAGCCATCTCGCTGTGCTTCCCTGGCTAAGATAAACCTTGACCTGTTGTTTGACCTCTGCCGGCTTTGGGTCTGTGATTCCAAGCTTTAATGCGATGCTCATATAGGCCTGTTCCACGCTCTCGTAGCTGGTACATGAAATCCACAAAACCGAGCATTCAGGGTCTCGATTTCGCATGCGGTATGCCAACTCCAAAGCGATTTGGGTCTTTCCAACTCCGCCTAGTCCGCAGATAGCGATTCTGCCAGGACTGTCCTGTTGCATGATCAATCCTTCAATTTTGCCGATTTCTTCTTCCCGGCCCACGAATCGCGAGTTTTTTCTAAAGGGAACCATCCAAACTGGTTTCTTTGATGCACCTAACTCGTTCCCGGGGTAGGAAGTGGGCACCTGTGACAGGAGGGCCTTCGCGTAGGCGGCTGCCGCAAGGGCTGCATATTCTTGCCACTGTTTATTTTTGTGGGAATCACAGTAGTCGCAGATGCCTCGAATGACAAGGGATGGAAGTTCATCCATGAGACCGGCAGCTTCCATTTCAAAGCAGAGAATGTCTTCCTTTCGGGCAATGAAATCTCGAGTCCCCGCATCTTTTATGACCTGATCTCCAGAAGCGATCAAGCCATAATGAATATAAGGCTCAGCAGTTGTTCGTGGAGGCCGAGCTACTAGCTGTTCCTGATCACATGCCGAACAGTTTGCTTCCTTCCCCTCATGGTCGTATGTCGGTTGGAACAGCCAGTCGCATTCTGGTCGGGAGAACTTCCTTCTAATTTCTTCTTTCTGCAGTGCATCACCTATGATTCTGCTGACTAGGTTCTTTCCAGTCATATGGTCGCTCTCCAACTGAGCCACCCCCTTCAACAAGATTGGAGGAGGTTTGTTGAGGGATCCAGTGCGCTGAAAATGTCCTCCCCTGAGTGTTTTGCCGTAGTCATACTGGATAACGCCACCAGAGGTAGCAGTTGGCTTGCTAACCACAACATCACCAAGGCGAATATCAGCACTTTTGCTGGGCACTCCGCCTCCAATGCCGACCATCAATCCAAATTGGATGTTTGGGTACGTAGAAACCATGTGTGACACCACAGTCGAAGCAGATACCGTTCCGTATACACCAATTGGTAAGCAGGCCACCACCACATTGTGGCCGCCGACATTTCCGAGGGTGTAGACATTGTGATCGGTTTTTGGTTGGGACAGAGAAGCATGAACCTCATCTAACATGACTTTCGCCGCTGCCGTTTCCAGCGGCAAAGCGCAGATCCATGCCACCGTGTAGTCGCTGTGTGATAGTATTCGGGGGGCCATTCTCACGAGTTACTGAGGATATAGCACAACAATATACAACACTCGCTGTCTCTCCATCATCGGTGGACGTTGTCGGTACGTTCCGTTGCAGGTGATCTGGCGTGGGAGAGGCAATCAGCTCCATGAGGCTGACAGCAAGGCTGTGTTTTACCCCAGTGAGCCCAGTCAAATTGCAAGCTGATCCAGTGCCCAATAAATGCATGCTGCAGGAGACTAGCCCACCAACAGAGTCGTCAGACGCCGCTAGGCTGAGCAGGGGGTTATGCCAAACAAATCACTGGCGCGAACACGCACCAGTTAGATTCAATGAAATCAGAATCATGCGTAGAGATACGACACACCATCCTGATACCACAGTCGAGTGCACTAGTATATGGAGCCCTCAATCATCGACGTACGTATATGTAAAATTTCTGATAGAAGTATAAATGAATAGCTGGTTCTAGTTTCTCATTGCATCAACTTTCTCCTTCTTCAGCTGCAAATCTTTAAATTCAGAAGAAAGAGCAACACGCTGAGGATTTATTCCAAGCTTTACATAGAAGCGGGAGTAAGTACAGAGTAGAGTGTACAATTGAATTGATTTCCTGACTTCTTCGCTCTCTTCAACCTGATTGATTGCGATACCACGTATTCTGTAATATGTGCTTGCATGGACCATCGAAAAAGAAACATATAGCAAAATCACTCAAATCACCCCACGGAAAACTCAATGGATGTTGTCAATCTTCAACTTTCTGATGTCCCAGTCTACCCATTAATAGTCATGTTCTCTCTGGTCTTAACCTATCCAAATGGTCCGTTACGCCGTTCAGTCCCATGTATGGGGTGTTCACAGAGCGAAGCACCACAGTGTCGTAACACTCATAATCCCGATGAAACTCGACAAGAAGTATACGTAGATGTTGGAAGAGCCAACAGAAGCACACTGGCATCTGATGCGAGATTCAGAGTCGCACACAGCCAATGGGATACTTCCTCACGAAGTTCAATCCGCCTCAGGTACTGTCTCGAAGCGGCAGCACAGCATCCGTTGTTGGCGCTGTTTCTTCGTTTCAATGGCAGCCGCTCTTCCAGGTGGTTTGCCGTGCCATACGTACTTGATTGACTGACAGCGAAGCTCTGTACACGATGCTTAAACTGTTACTGAGCCGAGCTAAAGCATGCCACGTATTGCCTACATGGTCCGGGGCGTCGTTTGGGGTATAAAAAAGACTGAAGGCAGTCGACCGTTGAAGCAATCCATCTACCGCGATAAAATGAAGTGACGGTAGGCCGTTGAGAGACCCAGGGGGGGAAGATCATGTCTGCGAAAGACCAAAGGCAATCCACAGATTTCAAGCCAAAGCGCCGGTTTGCAGTCGGGCATGAGTGCTGCTAAAAGCGAAGGCATGCCGAAGGAATGGCCTGGTGCTAGATGCAACTTGTAGTAAAAAGATGAGAGTAATGAGCGGAGGGAACATATAAGTGTGGGGGTTTCGATACTTTGTACAACTTGAGGTTGAGGTGTATAGTATTACACCCGACCCGGGCAGGAGAACATGAAGCTTCAGAATCGACGCTAAGCATGAAGCGAAGAAGAGGAAGGCACGAAGTATATCCTGTAAAAAAGGCGGAATATAGAGTGGAATAGATATATCAAACTTCTAAAGATGGAAAGCTGTGTCTGAGGCAGATTTAGTGAGGAGATGGCTAGTCTGAGAGAAGTATCACATATATATATCCGCAGAGGCAGAGCTCGCTGAGCCTCATGTTGGATTGGATAGCAGCTCAACCATGGCAGAGAATCAAAGACGCATGCGTTGAACAAAAACATGCTGCCAGACTCTTTCAGGAATCTACATTTGTTTGCTAAATAGTGGTCTTTGCTAGGTAGCAAACATGTATGAAGGACCTAGTCTCTTGTTCTTTGACTGTCACTATTTCCCATCCGTACGCCTCTGCATGATACAAAGCCAGTATGTACACTGCATCTCCATGTGAGCAAAAGTGATTGGAACCATCGGCTGGAGATCTGTTTGATTCCTTCCTTTAAAGAATATCAGAGTTGCCACCACAAGCAATGGGTAGATACACCGCATTATTAAGAGAAAATCAACCATTGCATATGAGGAGCCGACCTTTGTCCTTATCACAGAAACTGTTGCAACTGTGGCTGTGCTCCTGTACACTGCAGTTCTTTGGCTAGTTGCACTGCTAAGGGATTCTCTGGGATTCCAGCAATCTTCTCACATCACATGTAGTGGAATAAGAGGCAGGTGGTGGGACATTTGATATCCAAGCGCAGCTAAAGGCCTTAAATTCCTCTCCACTTTGTATGCTCATCATCAGGATCGTCTATGGCTGGCGTGCATCGGGCTGGGATCCCGCTAGCCTGGAGAATCAATACGCCCTCCGATGCGTGGTAGATCAGTTTCTTGACATCGTATCCTTTAGCGAACCAGAGCTTAACAAGCTCATTGACGGTGTCATGATGTTGTTACCCTTCTCCAGCGGCAGAAGTAGTTGAGATCTGATCTAGTCCATGAATTCAGTTGACCACTTTCTGTCTCCGATCCTCGGGGCTACCTAATTGGTCCCGAGAGCTGTATATAGGAGTCCTCTCGCACATCTTCAGGCGATTGTCTTGCGACAGCAATAGCAGTTTGACCCTGTACCATCATGCACATGTCTTGTATTGTGTTGTGTCATTTGACTGCTGTGCCTGGTGGCCAATTGATGGAGATTGATTGATTAGCATGGCGGTTGAACTTGTTTCCAACTGTACTTCGACAGAGGTCCATTGCAACGCTCGTCAGGCAACATGAGAAACTCATACTACCAGAATATCAAAATTTATCAAGCGCATGAGGAGGAAACCAACACTATGGCTATAGCATCGAGTCGAATTAGAGTAAGTTGTGAGTCATTGTTGATAGGAGTCGGCCCCATCCGGTTAGCGCCGATGTCGCTCCCTGCGTGAATCACCGAATAATTATCTGGATCCTGACCTGTCCATCACCTCTTTCTCGCAACATTCTTCTTTCCAATTCATCAATTCTTTCGTCTACAGCTTCCACAATGAGTGCTCCCAAAGCTGTCGCAGAGAACATGCTCTGGGGTGGTCGATTCACCCGTGTGTACCCCCTACTGCAGATTCAATTCCTCCGAATACAACTAACCTACTTATGTTTTGACTCATAGAGGGCCTCGACCCCCTGATGGTTCAGTACAACCAATCCCTCCCCTACGATCGTATCTTCTGGAAGCAGGATATTGCCGGCTCCATTGCCTTCGCCCGAGCCAACACCAAGAGCGGCATCCTGACCCAGCACGAGTTCTCCGAGATCGAGCGCGGGTTCAAGCAGATCGCCGAAGAATGGAGCACAAACACCTTTGTCGTCAAGGAGAACGACGAGGACATCCACACAGCCAACGAGCGCCGACTATCGGAGATCATTGGCAAGGAGATTGGAGGCAAGCTGCACACCGGCCGGTCCCGCAACGAGCAGATCGCAACCGACATGCGCCTGTGGCTGCGGGATGAGCTGCGCAAGCTGGACGCCGTCCTGTGTGACCTCGTCAGGGTGTCCATCGCGCGCGCCGAGAACGAGCTCGACTTCATCATGCCCGGTTACACCCACTTGCAGAAGGCCCAACCTGTCCGGTGGAGTCACTGGCTGCTGTCGCATGCTACTGCCTTCGCCAGTGAGCTGCAGCGTCTGCGGGAGGTCACCCGGCGTGTCAACCGCAGCCCCTTGGGCACCGGCGCTCTGGCCGGAAACCCCTTCCAGATCGATCGGGAGGCAATGGCCGCGGAGCTGGGCTTCGAGGGTCTGCTGTACAACTCGATGAACGCGGTGGCCGACCGCGACTTTGCCATGGAGACCATGCAGTGGGGAAGCTCGTTCATGCTCAAGATCTCTCGCTGGGCCGAGGATCTGATCATCTACAGCAGTCTGGAGTTTGGTTTCGTCCGGTTGTCTGACGCGTACTCAACCGGCTCGTCGTTGATGCCTCAGAAGAAGAACGCAGGTGAGTTCCTTTTTTTTACTGTCTTTCCTGACTTCACTAACGAGACCAGACAGCCTGGAGCTTCTGCGTGGCAAGGCCGGTCGCGCCTTTGGCCACATGGCCGGCCTGATGATGACCATCAAGGGTCTCCCCACCACCTACAACAAGGACCTGCAGGAGAGCGTCGAGCCCCTGCTGGACCACATCAAGACCGTCAGCGACAGCATCCAGATCGCCACCGGCGTCCTATCGACCCTCACCGTCCTCCCGGAGAAGATGACCGCCGCCCTGGCGCCCGAGATGCTGGCCACCGAAATCGCCGACTACCTCGTCCGCAAGGGCGTCCCCTTCCGCGAGGGCCACCACATCTCCGGCCGGGTCGTCGCCCTGGCTGAGAAGAACAACGTCCCCATGGACACGCTATCGCTCGAGCAGTTGAAAACGATTGATGCACGCTTCGACGAAGATGTCCAGGCTTGCCTGGACTACGAGCGTGCCGTTGAGCTGAAGGATGCAGTCGGCGGCACCAGCCGCCGTGCCGTGCTGGAGCAGACTGCCGTCCTCAGGGGTCTCTTGTAAGAATATGATCTGTTTAATTTTGTGTCTAGGGAATGAAAAGCTAGGTCTTTCGGGTTATATGTTTTAGTAGGTATATAGAATATATTTCGGTTCGCTCCCAGTCAACAATTAATCTATATAACATTACCAGCGACAGTATACAAGACGAAAGACACGGCATCAAATCAAATAAACCATAGCACCAACAACAATAGAAATAGGGTATACAATCACCAAGGCAGCACAGAACAGCCCCCGAACAGTACCAAACATAGTAAAACTCACACCCCCGTCCCACTCTCAAAACTCTTCCTCCACTCCTCCCTCCGCTCTGACCCCTCTCCCTCCTCAAACCGCATAAAACTAAGCACATGGCCGATCCCCTCCCCAGAACCAGGATACTGATCATCCCGCGGAACCCTATAATCAAAGTTTGCGCCCAGGATCAC